AAATTTTAATCTTCATTCCTTCATACCCCTTTTAGAAGTTTCGACAATAGCTGAAGTTGACAGTCAAATATTCAATTTTTTCAAGGGTTATCTACCCTCGTGGAAAGTTGTACTTCTGTAGACAGTACGATGTATATCTGGATGGTTTACTTTAGGGAATTTTGGTCCCGTGTCCATTAACCTCGCGTATCGTATTTCAAAAATTTACGCTCAAGTTATACAAGTGAGTCTGCGAAGTTACTTAAACAAATTCTTAGTGTGAACAAAGAAAAGTGCTTTTCGTTAGGTGAATGTTTTACTGCTAAGAGACAATATCTCGAGGGAAATGAGGATTTTGTGACTGTGTTGTTGGATGTATATTAGTTGGAATATCGTTGTATTTTATTATCTAAATAGTTGTTTGAGTTGAAATGTTCTAACCATTCAGCTTTCTACATCGATTTACTGCCCAGGGAATTATTCAAACTCGCATAAATGTCGACCAGATTCAAATCTCTCATTCCCAAGCGTCCTTCAATACTGTTCGGCTTTGACATGATAATTCATAAGTCGAGTTTCGCGACTCACTCCCACTTCATCTAACTAGACTCGATCTGTCGTAAGATGGAAACTAACTTGCTATGCGTGCGAAATAATATGCTAGAACATGCTTGAGTACTTTGATGGAGAAAGTTTTCCCGTTGCTGATGCTTTGCGGGAAATTTCTAACCCTTACGACGCTGTACGTTCGACAATGAGTTTAGTTCGCAAATTACTTATCGATGCAAGCGAAATTTTCAAGCGCGTAATTTAATTGTTCTTATATACGTCGCGATAGTTTAATTTCGTAAAGGATCAATGTCAGAAGTTTAGAAGTCTTGCATCATCTAAAATATCAGAGGATGCACCGTATTAAACTTTGTAGAAAATTTTCAATACAGATTCGTTTAAAATTACCTTCATTTATCTAATGTTGGCAATTAATTAAAAAATTTTTTTTGTATTTTAATTGAGATGAAGTACTTTTTTATGGTTTTTTTTCTTGACATAAAAATTTGTTTTCTCGTAAAAAGTTTTATTTTCAAAGAAAAATGTAAGCAATTTTATTTGTAAAACAAAAACCAGAGATACCTTTTTCCAAAAACGCGTTAATTAAGTGTCCGAAGGTTTTTTTTTTATTTGCTCAAATGGTGAAAAAACCACACTGAGAGAAACTAAAACGAATCTCTTTGGTGTATATAAGTGGCAAAGAAACTTTTTTCTTCTGACAAACTTCATCTGGTTCAGTGGATTTATCAGTAACAGTGCATATGTACCCAGTAAGAGTTTGAGAGCGTTGGTAATTGCGTCATTTATGTGTGCAAACCCACACACTTTTCTGTCGCGTCGTAACTATACATTTTTAAAACGAGTATTCCAAAGTTGCCACAAGCTTCCATCTAATGGCCCTTCCACACGATTGGACTTTTCGTCGAACTTTTATCGAACAGTACAGTTAGCCCAGAGCGGTAACTTTGAAGGAACATTCTGAGTTTGGTATCCACCTTCGTTCTATACTGTTAAAGACAAAAAACGTACAAAAAATATTAAGTGACGATGTTCGCTGAACTGAACAAGAAAAACGATTGTGTTCTAGATTTTTCTAAATACTTTTTGACAATCAATATGAAGGTAACTGGATCTGTTGCGGTTATTTGAAGCATATTACAGGAATTGAATTAATTTTATTAACTTTAAAGTACATGCAAAATACTTTTCTTTTTTACTAACATCTCTATTTTATTTTAATCTTTAATTTAACTTATTTACATTCGGTTAATTTGAAGCTAGATAATTATGTTTTAATTAAAGATCATTAACATAGTCGTTACTCTATAATTTTTCTTACAAATAGAATATTCATGTTGATGTTCACTAATTAAACGACAAAATTATTGGAACAAAATAGAGCACATTAATTTTTAAAATAAAAGAACAGAAAAATGAAGTCATGATTCTAAAAAATGTATCAAATATATTATTGTATTAAAATAGACTTTTTCAGCATTAAAAACGTATTAACAAAATAAAAATAACAGAAGTAATTACAATAATTTTTCATTTAATGACGTGTTAATAAAATTGTCAAATAATTACTGTATTGTTAAAGATTTTGCATTTGATTACTTATTTAATGATGTTGTTTCATTTTTTTTTTTTATTATTTCTGTATGACTGTTCACATATTTATATGAAGATATGGACATAAAATAATGGAAATTCCGTAAGCTTTTATGAAATAGCTGACCAAATGACAGCATTACAGTGACGATGGTATTTTATGTATGTAGACATCTTCATTTATAAATATCCATATAAATATTCGAACCCCCTGCAATCTTTACTTCGGTGAAATTCTGCAGTGAGAACCGTTGTGATGACAATACTTGATGTCCTGAAAGTTGTAAACAGACATCATTGTATTATTGAGTAACTTTATACCTTCATTGGATGTTACATTTTGTCACAATCCTAGTTGAGTATTTTTTGCACTATAAATTGTATGAAAAAAAATTATAATCGTTCGAAAGTAGAACGAAATTTTTCAAATTTCTACTACATTTGGCAAATCTTCTCAAACGGTTTAAATGTGAAGAGTGGAATTTATATTTTTTTGCTGGAATATTTTAGCATATGAAATTAAAAAATAAAAAAATTTTCTATTTCAAATACTACATACAAAAGCTTTTGAATTTATTTATCAAGTATTTCGTTTTCAAATAGTTGAATTAAAATTGACTGACTGACATGATTTCGATCAAACATTTGCTCTAAAAGAGATTTTTTTGATGCTACCAAATTACCTTCTGAGTAAAAATATCTTCATCTAGCGGTTATTTACGAACATCTCATAAAGAGCTTTTGGAGATATTAAAAAAAATATATAGAAAAAGTTTTTAAATGTATGGACGTAAATGGTTGTATAAGGGAGGAAGAAAAGTAAATGTCGACTACCATCGGCAGTTACGGTATTGGTACTAAATCGAACGAGTTTTACGTTTGGTACTCACAAAGGCCCATGTGAAGTCTATAGAGCACAAAATCGAGTGTCGATTATGTACGAATTCGATGCGAAAATTCAAGGGTTATTTTTCGTATCGTAAATTTCGATAAAAATTCTATGGCTTTATAGACCGAAAATTGAGAGGATTTTTTATTGAGAAAAAAATAGTAAACGATTTGAAAAAAAAAATAAAAAAATACATTTTTTGCATACTCTCGTGTGTTTTCTGTTTGTTGACTTGATAGGTATGTAGTTCAATTCACCTAACAAGTTTCATGCAGCATATATATCCAAAGTTCCTTTAATAGACGTTTAAAGTTGTCTGACTTGCTTGCCTGTCTCAAGAATCCAATTTGGTGGACAGGTTTTCGTTTAACTTTATCTTTCTCTCATGCTGTGTTTGTTACTGAATACTTTTTGAGCCAATTCAAGCAGCATGGCGTATTCGAGCTATACATTTACAATATTTACCATATTTTTCTGCTTTTATTATTCTGTACTTCTATAAGAGGAAGTTCTTACATAGTCTATGTTTATTCCATCTTTTAGATGCACGTATACGTATAATCTTCTCCTTATAGACGATGGAATTCATGCACTTAGATCACTTGACTGGGATTTCGATTGTAAATAGCATTTTAGTAAATTGCCATGAAAGAAAACAAAATGGAAGAAGGTATTATGGAGAAAAGGCAAAATAAATTGTATTCAGTAGCTGTTCTTCAAAAGCAGCACCAGAAGGAGAAGAGAATAATAATAATGACATTTGATTTTTTTCATTAAAGAAAATCCATTATCTTCTATCATAAACTGCCAGAAGAATATCTTAAGTACCTTTTTTTTTTTGAATCTTTGTTTTATTTATTACTTAAGCTTATAAAAGTGAATAATAATTTTTCTTAGAATTGTGTTCTTTTCATTATGCTATATTGTGTTCAATATTTTCCACTCACAGAAAATTCCAGACTAAAACGTCAGTCCGAGAATTCTCAATGTTCTCATTCACTTGGTTGCTCCCCTTGTCCCAACGTTTTCACTACATTGCTCTTCGTTTCTTTTGTTTAATCGCATTCTGCCGCTCGAATAATTAAAATTCTCGAGGCAGGGTTGAAGTTTGTCTATTTTCACTGTTCCGTTGACGAACTTGACGTCTCTACATTTTTGGATATGAGTACAGTAATAATTCTAAAGAAATTATTCAAGAATGCTACTTTATCCTCCGACTACATTCAATCTACATTGTTCTGACATTCGCTAAAGTATATTCACCTCGACAATTGAAATCAAAAACTTTATTTCATAAATTTTATTTGCATTCATATGAATATTCTTTTACAATGTTTTATGAAAGGTATAATCTCCATTTCTAAATAGTAAATTACGTCAAGTATAATCATTATTACAACAGTTACTCTTCTCTAAAAAAAAAGACATCTACTATTAGCTTTGAAATAAATGTGTGTAATCTCAGTAATAAATAACACTCATTTTTTTGAAGTTATTTCATTTGGCTTCATTAATACACTTGCTTTAAAACTAAACATTGAAATAAAAAAAAATAATAATAATAATAATTACTTAGTAGTGGATTAGAGATTAGTATAGTATTTAAGTAAAATGAATACAGGATGGTATATTCCAATAGGATAATACTTTTCGCGTGATTAAACCATTCATCGAATGTCACTTGAAGTCGAAGGATTTAGAGCTTACGAGATCTAAAAAACTTTTTTTGAAAAATTGGATAACATCCTGAGCTCGTGGAATTTGATCTTTTGAATTGAGGGAACATGAAAGGCAAGTACAAGGAGAACACCAGAGAGGAAGTAAAAAGAAAACTATAGGGACATGTGACAGTTGAAGATTATAGAGAGATATAACGTCAGAGCAACGAGAAAATACTAGAGAAATGTGAACGGAAATGAAAAGGATAGGTTATACTTATTACTGGAACTAAATTATTTGAAAAAAAAAATTCTTTTCAACGGAAATGATTCTATTGAAAATCATTAATTACATATTTCCTTGTGTATTATTATCAATGTTTAATCAATACTTTTCATATTTTACAAACCATTTTAGGAAATTTATTTTTTGTAAGCTGGGTTTTCGATATAGACCGGTGTTGGTGGGATGAATTTCCATGTGCGTTGAAACCGGGAAGGTATTCCAATACCAACAGTTTGATCATATTTTGGTTCCGGTTCTGTTGTTCCTGTCCAAGGATTCGATGGACCGTCTGTTGATCCATGAAACAGTTGGCCACTTGGTGGTTCCGGAATGTATGGATAACTATGAAATTCAGCGAAAGAACCTTCTGCCTGACATGGTTGTGGTATTTTCGTACAATGACTTAAATTGTCACGACATTCACAACGGTAGCAATGGTCTTGACTCGCAGTAGTCCAAACTTTTCCTTCGTTACAACCGTCTGGTACTGAATAAACAAAAACAATAACAATAAGTATGAAATAATTTTTTTAAATATAAATTCATAATAAATTTAAAAAAGAATTAATGATCAATACAAAGATGTTGAAATATTGGATTTTTTGGCTAGACGATGATGATTGTAGATTTAGAAATGAAAAAAAAATATTTATAGAAATTATTATGTACTTACAAGCTGAGGAAGCAAAAACTGCAGATATGATAGTAATAAAAAACAGAACTTGAAGAAAACGTTGCATGATTATATATTACAACGAACAACGATTGACAATAAATTTATGTAATAAGTTTGTGCTTCTTATCAAGCTGTCGAAACTCAACTGAAATTTGTGTCAAAAACAGCTGGTATTATATACACTGCTTCGATAATGGTAATGGACTGGCGTAAAGAAGACTCACTGAAAAACATAGAGATGTTAATCTTCAAGGTTTTGACTGTTGAGAAATTATCAAATATTTAAACTGTGTATAATTTCTTTTTTTAATCATTTATTCATTCTTAGGTTGAGGTTTTTAAAATGATGTTTTTGTGCGTTCAGATAATGTGGTTTAATGACGCATATTAGTTATCACTTGTAGTGTTAATTAACATCTCAATAATATTGTCTAATAAATATAATCAGAGTTAAATACACTAAACATCCATTTTGAAGTATTTTATCTGGTAATTAACAGACTTGCCTAAGTATTTAGCAGATATGGTTTATTATTGTGAAATAAAATTGACGAGAATCATTGAAATTTTTTCTTTATTTTGAACGAATAAATACTGTTGAATTACGCAGTATTTTTCAGAAAATTAAAAACATATTATTCCCCAATTTACACAAAAATGACACATAACCAATTTATAGATACTATAGCTCATAAAGAGTCTTTTTGAAGAATTTTTTTGTTTAAAAATTGTATTTATTATTTTTGAAGGTTAAATCTAGTGAGATAAATATTTATTTTTATTGGATAGAATACATAATATTTATTGACATTTTCTTATAATAAAATAATATTTATATATGTTTGTGAGAAATAGTTTATTATTTACATATTTCTCGATGAAGTTTAATACGAATTTATTGTTGACAGTGTATAATACATTCGTTTTCATTGTTTATATTTACTAAAGGAAATATAAAACTTCAAATAACAGATCTAACATTGGAGTAATAGAATTCTTGTATCATATGTTAAATAAATATGGATGTTTGCCAATAAGTTCAATGATCTAATAATATAAACAATAAATTTCTAGGTTAGATTTTAAATGTATGTATCGAAAATCTGCAAGGTTTCTAAACTGAAAGTGAAGAAAATTTTTTTTTTTCGAAAACAGTTTTAATATTGAATTAATAGACAACATGGAGTCCAAAAGATCAACACTAGAATTAAAATGTGTACTTATTCCTCTTTATTATTGGCTGAAATTTACATTATTTACCTCAGAATTAAAATTTATTATGTATTTAAATATCTAGTAGTAACTGACTCAAATTTTTTTCTTATTTATTATTGGGTAAGGGGGCTCAAAGTAATGATAATGACATTTGAATAATTTCCCTTTTACAACTTAATGAAATTGAATCTTAACCTTAATTAGCATCTAAAATCAAATGAATTCTAATTTACTCAAATTTACTCTAATACTAATATCCCAACTGTGACACATTATCTTAAAAGACTACTTATCACATACACGATTATCCTTTTTATTCATCAAAGTCTCGAGGAAAAAAGCTCTTGCAAGTCATTCGCTTCCTGAAAAATGATTTTTCTATTACAATATTATTTTCCCCTCAACGTAGATATGGATATATTCTGGTATCGACCTGTAGGGCGTGTCTCTCTCACCGGGGAATTTCATTCTGGCAACCCTCAACTCTCTCTCGTTTTGCCCCAGCTTCAGAACCCCCTTGTCGACCCCACTGTACAGTGTCGAGTCGCGACAGTTTTACTCACCCCCAATCCACATCGTGATGTCTCACTGTGACAGTGTCCTCTTTGGCGTTATTATTATCATTATTATTATGATTCTAATAAAATTGATACGAAAGAACTTGCGATTCCACTTTGGCTCTCTTTGACTTGATGGCCTCCTGGGTCTTTACTCGAACTCACTTTCTCCCTAGAGAAGTCCATCCACGTCCGGAGGGAGTGCATTTATATATTTCTCGCGTCCCGAAGTGGCAATAATGGAATGGGCGTACGAGAGCTCAAGCACCAGGGGGTGTAATACATGCACACCAAATGGGGTAGTTTACCGATCATGTTCATAAATTATTCGAATTTTTTAGAAAGTTTAACACCAGGGGAATCGAACTCATGGTGGCTCATTTCGATGTGTAGTGTCTTTATTTACACTGTACATTCACTAGATTAAGTTCAAATTTTACATCAAACTTTTAAAATAAACATGTCTCAAGTTTATTTTTTTTGTTTACTCATTTTACCTTGACTTCAGTAACAGAATCTTGCTAGCAATATGAACTAGGGTGTTCCCATGGTTATTAGTGGAACATAACTCTCGCAACACTCGGCAATTTCACTCTAGTCTTTACAGGGTTTTTTTTGTTTTTCATATACAAGGACTACTTCAAAGTGAATACGAATATACAAACTGTGAGAATGGTACTAAATGTTTATGTTTGTTTCCAAGTAGTAATAGAAGAAAACTTTGTTGCAAAAACCGACTTAACTTAAAGTATGTTAAATATTGTCACTGCCACAAAACAAATAACGAATGTTTGCTAAATTAGAAAAAGAAGTGGGTCATAGAGAATCTGAATTTTTTTTTTCATTATTTTTATAGAGAGCTGTGACATAAAAATCTTTTTATAACATCTATGAAAGGAACTTTATTGATCAATATCGATATTAATTTATTGTTAATTATCAAATTTTTTTGTCAATGTTCTCGCAACTGTTATTTAAAATATAAATCACTGTAAAAGAAATACACCAAAAAAAATTTCAAAGTTTGCAATTTTACTAATTTAAAAAAAAAACAACTCAAAAAGAAAGTTTAGATAAAATATTTATAAGTTAAATTTAAAATTCTCTGGCACAGATTTTCCTAGAATATTTTTTTTACCTATAAAATATTCAGCCTAAATATTCATTTCCAATACAGTAGAGAAAGCACGCGATGAAGTTTGATTTGTTACTGACACTCTCATATCAATCACAGGAATCGTATTTCAGGTTAGCTGTTCTGTTTTTAATTGTAATTTTTATTTTTATTGCAGTTGGAATCTCTTTCGACCTATATAGAGTTTGAAAGTACACGGGAAGCATCGATCGGGGTTGTTGCATAATTTCTATGGAAATTCGTGGAATCTGTTTGGCAGTGCAGTGGCCGATTAAATTTTCATGGGACAATATGCGAGCCAGCGACATGGTAAGGTTTATCAATAGTTGAATGTACATTAAGGTTGCTTTGACTAAGTTATGAATAAGATGCACGACTTAATTAATGCTATGCCACCTGTTCTATGGGTCTACTTTGTACATATTTATTTCATTGTTATGATAGCTTTGATGGCGTTGATAAATCAATTATCACCCGAATAAGAAATACTTTGATGCAACATCACATCAGAAGTCTTTTTTTCACAGAAATGACTTTATTAAATAATTTTATAAATCATCTATGACATCTAGTCCCTACTTGAATTATTTCTGAGCAGCTGCTCACTTTGATGTTTTCTCAGTACCTTAATTAAATCCCGAGTTGTCTGTTGCGTTCTTAGCCAAGCAATACTACATCTCAAAGTTGCGAATTTTTTAGCAAAATATATATGAACATAACTTTTCAACATTAAATGGAAACAAAAATTGGAATAGAGACTGGACTCTCATACTTTCATTAATACACAACTCCAGTATTTTATGATTTTTCTGAATGATGTCTGAGAGGAGTATAAAAAGCTATGTACTAGCAAAAAAGCTGTGAGAGGAATTTTACATTCTTAAATACTATGAAAGCTTTTTAGTAAATAATTCACTTGGATATATATATATTTATATTTATATTGACGTTGGATTTATTTAACTGTCATCATTTTGTTCTAGTAAATCCACCTAATTATCTCTGAGGATCAAAGGCTTTCAAAGCAAAGAGCATTCGTAAATTATACATACAGTACTGCTATGCTTATTCATCAGTTTACTGGTGAATATTATAGTATCTTCCTATTTGCGTTACACATAAATGTTAACACAAACTCAGAAAAATATTTTTTCGTGTAACGAAGAGTACTCTCTCAGTCGAAAAATTTTCATTAAAATTTTCTTCTGTTAAAGTTTCTTATTGGAAGAAAAAAGCCAATAAAAAGCTTTTATCTTCTGTTAACATTTATTTAGCAATATTCAACATCCATAGTGTTTTGATAATTATTTTAATGCTAATCCTTGTTTCACTTTTTTTTTTGATTAAGAAAATATTTATTCTTATACCTTTACATTACTGTTATTTCTATGATAAAATTTTTATAATAATCATACATTTTCAATATTCCTAAGTGAGTTATCATCCATTCTATCTTATTAGCATTAATCATTCGTTGATTGGTATTTCAAAATAAATAAATGATATTTCCTCACGGAATTATTTACTTGACTGAGTACTTACTATCTACAGGTTGTTGACTTAACTTGAGAGTATATATCCCATCTTGTATACCTAGTTTGAATAATCAAGACCACAGCACAATGGAAATAATTGGCAATTGACCTATTAGATTATCGATGTGGTTAGTAATAAATATCCATCGCCAGAATTGTTGGTAGTCGGAGAGCGTACGGTAAAATTAAGTTTATGCCTCATCGATAGCGGGCTGGCGAGCATCCAAATAGTGAAGAGGAACGACTGGGAGGCATCTTGAAGGAGATTCGTTGGCGTAGCTCTGGCTATGATTCCATTTCCATGAAGCTCGGGGAATACTGAATCGAAAGGTTTAGCTGAGAGTTAAAGAGGAAGTGAGAGCAACTGAAATGCAACCAGGATCCACATGAAATGGGACGAATTTTCCGATGCAGATAACGTGCTAGTGAAGTCGAGTCCGAAGGGATGCTTTCTCAAATCTTGCGAGTTCACTCTGGTAGTCTACTAAAAGATGTATAAACCCGACATCAATACTCGGTGGACCGAAAATACTAGTCTGAGAGTATGTTGGAGAGTCTCGTCGAGGGATATCTTTTAGCCATTAGCTTCTTTACTGTTTTTAATCGCAATGAAACCTCCGGCACTTATCGTTTTTCCGAGCATGTTTATAAAGAAAATGGTAGCTCGGATAGAATGCTGATTCTTGAATCGAGAGAGGAACGAAACGAGTAAAAATACAAAAAAGTGTAGCGAAAGAAAACAGTGTCGGAAATGCGCGTCTTCCATATGCACGAGGTCTCGGTACAGAGCTTTCGATATTTCCGAGGGTTGTAGAATTGTAGATTGGCATCCCGTAGTTTACTCCGGTTGCGACGAAAAACAATACGGGTATTCTCGTTTTTTTTCCTTAAGCTTGAAAGCTTTCTTTCTATTCTTCAGTTCACTGTGTGCAGCGAATCTTATAATGGTCTGTGATTCTATGCGTAGGTTGATCTCTCTCGTCTGCAAAACAAGGAATCTCGATGAAAAAATAAATGTTGATTTGCATCGAATTTACCCTAGCATCTCGCGCGACATCAATTTCAGGGTTGAAGACTGTTTACAAGTCCGGAATACGTGCTCAAGTATTCGAACGAGCGTAAAGGATGTGACCTACATGAAATATCAAGGTTGTGTCGTGCTTAGCTTGCTCAAAAAATGTCTCTGGCACCATCTGGTACTTTCTACACATTCATATCCATATTCTACACATCTACACAATCAATAATCGATTTATGTTTCTTGCTTTTTGATGGTTTTCCAAATTGTCATTTCATTTTTCGTTGTTTACGATCGAAATTTCCATTATCGAAACACTTTTCTGCTGACATCTACTTATTTTTATTGAGAATAAAATTTCAATTGGATACACAAACTTGATCCAAGAACTGAACAGCATTCTATCGCTTAATCCGGACGATATTCGTTCGCTTCTTGGCGTGACGATACGAGAGGTGGGCGTGCAAAAGGAAAGAGCCAATGGCAATTTGCTCGTGCTGTTGCTTTTTCATTTCACGGCTTGGCGCGCCTTGCATTTTAATCAATGTTAACGTAACTTCAGGCAAACATCTGTACAGGTATGATATTCAATGGATTTCATTCACTTTTTTCTCGTATCGATCATTTCGCGTTTAATATATTTAAATTTTCTACACGCCCTTGCTATTGAATAACATTTTTCTCACATAAATTACCCAACTTTGAGGATAAAAGACGTCGAAGATATACATGCACTGTAAGTGCACATACTTTGATAAAATCTCAAAAGTCTTCAAGTTTTCTCATTTCTTAACAATGTGCGACCTGGAAAAAATTCCAAAAAGACACTCGGGCGACTTCTTTGGTCATGAAATAGAAAAGTAAACTCGCGCCTTGGATAGACGCCAGTTAAGAACTCTAATAGTTTCTTTGTCTAAAAAGAATCTGTTCCGGCTACGAATCTATAGACTGCACAGAACAAACTCAGAATAAGAAAACTGACAATTTTATTTTGCCAGTTACATCAGGCATTGTTTGGAGTAAAGGAAAAAATAAAAAAAATACTTGCAAAGGAGAGTGAGAAATAGAATTAATTTATTTAGATATTCATTTAGAGTTTCCATTTAATGAAACAAATTTTTATTAAAGACAAAATACCATTTTCAAATTTTTTCAAACAAATGCCAAAGCTTTTTCATGGAAATTTTAAATTAAATTTTCGTCTGAACTGTTTTTGAAGTTAATAAATAATTAAAAAGAATTCTTATTAGACTTTTCAAATTAATGTATAAAATTAATAAACTCTTTTTCTATCATCATATTCATAGTGAATAACATAAAAATAATTATTATATGATATTGATTTAAAGATATTAAATATTTCAATGGCGTCGGATAATTTCAAAGTTTATTGATATTATTCAATTTAATATAAATAACAAATAATTAAAAGTTCGTCAAATCATAAATCATTATTCAACATCATATTTTAATTATTTAATGATAAACTTTGTTCAGTGTCCAAGCTTTTAATTTCAACGTCACCCTAAATAAATAATGCAGCTTTTTTTATTTCTTTAAAAAGATTAAATCTGTCGACAATGTAAAATTTTCCAAGAAAAATAATCCATTTTAAAATTCTTAATTGAAACATACATCTACCTGATACCGTAAAATAACTCATTATTCATTTTTCCTTCAAAACTTGTAGATTTCCCAGATAATCTACTGGCCTACTAGAAAGATAATTATATGCTTTCGTTTGTCTTTCGATCAATATGTCAGATAACAGATGGGAAAAAAGATTTAGAAATTTCTAAAATGTATCTAAATATGTTTAAACAAATTAATTGCTATTATCAAATAATTTTGACGTTGGTCTTTTGATGTTCATATTAATCAGGCAATCATTTAATATTTGATGATCAAATATTCATAAACCAAATTTCTACAACATAAATTTAATGATAAAAAAAGAATTTGTTGGTAGTTAGCGGAACCGGACAGAGAATATTCAGTGTAGTTTAGTTGTTGACTTGCCAAATGATAGGCTACTCATGGCAACAGTGCTTTGCATAAACCACAGTGACACAGTTTGCTTTTGCAGAATCGATACCTTAGCACACGAATTCCATAGTCAGTATATTGCTGAGCCCAGGGTTTCGCGAACTCTCTAGTGCTTGACACTCTACAAGGGGTGCTTGTGCAGGGAAAGGGGATAGGTAACACGTTCTCGGTTATTTATGGTCCACTCTCTGTACAGAGGCAACTTGCATGCACACGCTTTGCGTTCGCAATCACTTTTATGCATTTATTGATATACATGTTTGATATAAATTCTATTATACCCTTATAAGTGGGTTACATCATCTACTAGGATAAAATGTTGAGATATAAATTTTTGTTAGAGTTCAAGCTCTACTAACCAACCAACCAACCAACCAACCAATGTTTGTTTTTTACTTTACTTCTAGGGTTTTACACGTTAGAGATTATTAATCCACTAATTGCAAGTTAATCCTTGCAAACTATAATCTCCCACTTAAATTGAAGTAGTAGGTAGGATAAACTGATTTTTTACAGAATGAATATTTTTTACTTTTAGCTGGAAATATTTAAATTGAAAGTTATTAATAGTCGGTGAATAACCACCATTTAGGAATTACAAGAATCGTGATAAAAAATTCACACGTTATGTAGGACGTATGATCTAAATTTGAAAAATTGCTTTGGATATTATTAGATTCAACGTTATATTCTTTTTCATAAACTGATGAAATAACTATATAAGTATTTTATCGGTGAAAAATAAAATTTTTCTTTAAACTTAGAGGTATATTTACAAATCGTATAAATTTTATGATGGTGGAAGTGTTCTGATAATGTTCAATTTATTAGAAAATTAATTTATTGAGGTAATCTAGGGTATGATTAGATACTAGAGTAAAAAATACAATTCTTTTTATACTGTAATGAGCTTAATGAATTTTTTCATAATAGAACAGAAACTTCAAGAATGATTTTTAGTGAATTCTTGAAAATTAAATTGATAGAATTTTCGTGAATTGCAAATAATCAAGTTAAAGTTGAATAAAATTCAATGAATTTTAATTAATTAAAAAAAATTTACATCGAAGAAAATTTCTTTTTTTACTTTAATGAACAGAATTTTTAATGTTAATAAAAAAAATAGGATTTTTGAAAGGGTGATTTTCCATTTATTCACAATAAAAAAACCAGTGTGGAATAGCCAAAAAAAATTTTTAATCTCGAAAAAAACATTATTAAAATGTACTTTTAATGAAAAACTTGATCAATTGATCGATAAAAAAAATAAATTTCACTTTAGAAATAATACGTCAGACAAACCTTTTGTAAACTCGATATTGCTTTCAATAAATAAAAAATTAAACCACTCCAAAGCTCAATCAATGTCTGTATCTTATAAAAATTCCATTTCAGGCGAGAAGTTCAAATACATCTGAACCCCCAGCAAAGTCGGAAGAGATTGTAGCCATTGATGTCTTGAGTAACGGGTGCGCACCAAAGCCAAGTCTTGCCCTGTGGGCATTATGGTTGTTTGCCAGGGTAAGAAAGCTGTGGGATTTTGGGCAGAACGTAAGGAGTGAGAGGATGGTCAAGAACATGGAAACAACGCTGCACATGAATGTAAGCATGCATGTATATAGGTTCTAAACCGGTGGTTAGATTCACGGGTTGGCAAGTCTAGTTTATAGCCGGAGGCTTCGAATCCTGTAGTAAAGCGAACGTAGCGTCCCAACAAGCTTCCATAAATTCATTAATCGCCCTGAGGCAACGAGGGTTGCATGAGACTTGCGCGAGTGAAGCAGCAGGAGAGAGAAAGCGCGCGGAAGAGTAACAGAATATGGAGAAACTGCGCGGGGGAGTAGTGTGCCTTAGTGGAATAGGGCTGCGAGATTTAAGCAAATTGCGATTACTCCGTTAGCTAAATAAGATTATTAACCAGCCGGTCTTATTTATGCCTCCGTACAGACCGTTAGTCAGACGAATGGGGATGTGAGAGGTAGAGAAAGGAGAGCAGGGTTTACTGTGGGTATGTGCGGCTATCGTATTACGCAATGGTCCAACCACACCTCTGCTATTCCTCGTTAGCGGACGCTGTTTATATTCATACGGTCTCCAAGCGCATAGATTTTAATTCACCGCTCGATTACGTCCATGCTATTTGCTTGAACAATGCTGAATCTTCATTATCAATTTGTGCCGATGGTTCAACATAACTTGCTGTTTCTAGATATTGCTGAGTTCATGATTCTCGTTTCGATGCTTTCTGCTTTCGAATAACACGGAATTAATAATTTAGAGCCCGCGTAAACTCTTTCCTCCTCCGTGTTCCAGGTAATAACTTACTTATCTATTCATTTACCTAGCGATGTTAAAACAGAAATAGATCATGAATCGTTGATACCGGAGTTGTGAGAGATGACTATGCCAAGTGATGTTATGATCCATTCATAGAGGTCGTTATGGTTCTGTTTTCAAGCACATTCAGATAAGTTTCAATATTAGCTTGATTCTTTTATAGCCTTAGTCATTTTAAAAACATTCAATCTGTGTGACACACTATTAAAGTGATGTTCAGGTTGATCCTTAAATGAATTTAAGCTGTAATAAAATTTAAAGATCAATCTTCGTATTTTTATCTGATCGAATACCATGATTGAAATGGATTTATTTTATGATTATATTTAACATAACGTATTTTTGTCACAGTTTTTTATTTTTATTATGAGCATTAAAAAAAAGTTATTCTCGTGTAATCCTCAGGAGATGGAAATAGTCTTGAAATCATGTTGGAATCTGTATTATTGTCATTTGAATTTGAGCACCTGTAGCGTATTATGAGGACATGAACATTTCGCTGTCGTCATTAAGGCTTGTCATAGTAAGGATGCTGCTTGACGAATGGTTTATGCTTTCAGAATCTGTGGTTTGAGTCTCCAACAATGGTCGATAACAATGCGGGGGCATGTACACTCCCCCTGTCTACCATATCGCGGAATCTTAAGGTATCTCAGATACGATCAATCCTCAGGATTGATTGTGTCTCTTGCTACTCATTCAAATCCCATGCTGATGTTTTTTTTTTTGTTCTGTTTTCATTGGGGACAATTCAAATGCTTTTAAGAAGACATGCATATAGATGGATATGTATGTATTTATAGTAGAAGGTCCATAAAAAATAATCCACCATCGTGCAATCCAAGACTTTATAATTCTCTTTATTCTCAAAATTGAAAATAAAATGCCACCAAGTCGCTAGATTATTCATATTGAGGGCGTTTCTCAGTCTATTTCTCTATAAATACTTGAATGGAGCGTTGAAATTCACCAAGTATGTTGTCAGAAGATGCAGTTAAAGAATTCACTGAGACATCCAATAGTTAATCCTGTCCTAGAAAGTATAAGGTCGACAAGGACCAGAACCGTTTGACATATTTTTAGGTTCTTTGTATTTTTGTTTGCGGCCACTCAAGCCCACTGCTTTCGTTTGTGTCTCTGGAATCTTTTTTTCTCTTTCTCTTATTTTAGTTTGTCTCCTGTTAGTTAGACATTTTCTTCCTTTTTTATCTTCTCATTCACTTTCTCAGTCTCTTTTCTAATCCATTGTTGCCCTTTAATGCCCAAGCCAAGAGTTCCCACAGCGCCAGTAAACGTCACCCCCCCTGTGTTCTTCAATGAAAAGTTGCATATACCTGGACCAGTCAGTGCGCCTGTTGCCCTACTGAAAACCATATTTTTCCTACTGACCTTTTTGATTTCTTATGTACTCGTTGAAAAATATTTTTTTTTGAGCAATTCTTTAGTTAACCTTAATTGAATTGTCACATTTTTGAATAGATTTTTCGTAAGAATGACATGCCAAAGTATGAAAAGCTGTGAACAAAAATCAGCTTGCTCTAGAAAAATACATTTTTTCAGTTACTGTTGGGGCGTTTTAGAATGTAAATTGAAAGATTGTTCAAATGGTTATGCGTTTTTGCTAAAATCTGGTGAAAAACTCAAAGTAATATAACGCCCGGAAGCTTGGCGCACTATTATTCTGACCCTACTCGTAAAAGTTAACAAAATTTTATGATCAGAGAAGAATTTTCAGCCACGATTTATGATGCGTCCTATAACAAACTGGAAAAAAGTGTTACTAAAACTTGACTGAATACATATATACTTGCTATAAAATTTGAAAATTAAAATCAAATTCGTGGAAAAACTCATCTCTTTTTAAATCGAAAATTTATTGTTCGTAAAACGAGATCTCATTTGTAGTAAGTTAATGACTCCTTTCAGGTTTCAGGAAGATAGAAAAAAAACAATCATTTCGTCACTTTTTTTTTGTCAATAATTCAATATGATAATAATTGGAAATATTTGTGCTAAGTCGTAGAGTTTCTTTATGGCAAAAAGCCAGAAAAATTTTTCTGCTTATACGATACTTTTCATCGATCTTTTATTTTTAATGGAAAGAATATATTCGTGACGTTGCTATGTATAGTATACAGTGTCAGCCATTTCTTGAAACTCGCGAGACTTTTTGGGGATGAGTAATGTACCCGAGGGTACAGATAACCCACGATTCCAACCGAATTTCATAACGTGACGCGCAATAACCGGTATGGCCTTCGGCACATGACTACCGGCACTTTCTTTTCTTTCAATAGTGTAGATTTGCTGAGAGGGATGCAACATCGCCGGCTCAGCAAAGAGCGTTCTTTGATACGTCTGTCTTGTCTCTTCAGTTTTCTCCTTTACGTCTCATCCCTACGCATCGCCCGAATCATTTCATAAACCTCGTAAAATCCACATTCATCCTTATTGCTATCTCACACCAGATCCTTCCCACGCACGTGATACGAATCCTCAATTTATTTTATTTTCAACCCTTCCACAACTGTAACTCAACATTGCCTTTCATCCTCTTGTGCCACCAAAGAAAAGAGAGACTGTGATAATTTCATTTTTTTCATCTCTTGAATAAACCATTTCTATGAGTAAATTCAAAAGTGGTTGATATGCGCGTCCAAGTGCAGATGTGCTGTCATTACTGAAGGGTGCTGGAGAATAACCAAGTGAGATAGGCCAGATTTAACGGCTATAGCTTCATCACCCGTTCAAGGTCCGTAAAAGCTTCCATTTCAAGTACGATACCACCAACTGGAAAAGTCGAGTAAGCAACCAACCAGCCGCATTTACTATGATGCTTTTGCTCAGATACTGGAAAGTATGTTAATGTTAGAGAGCTAGACGAGAGTTGAGGGAGGATGCAACGGTTGGTTGCTGTAATGAAATTAGGAAGCAACGGTTTGAGCATATGATATGAGCAAGAAAACCTACCGATCGAGAACACTTTCTATATTTTTTCTCTCATCCTACCGTATAATCGTGATATCTATTTTTACCTCAATGAATCGGATTTGAATTCGAGGATATTTGGTATAACTAGATTTGGAAAAAAGCACGAGTTTGTTTTATCGAATGCAGAAGGACTTGGTGCAGGAAAGAAAGATAACTAGACAAAGACTGGAATTGAGTTTGTCTGTACACAGTATGTTGGGTTTTGTTCGCGAGAAGAGTAAATGTTTGTCAGGAAAGTACAGGGAATATTGCTATCGCGTAATTCCGCGAAGCGAGAGATATTCGTTGGTTGTTGATGACGAAGAAATGGGAATGAATAAAACACGAGAAAGGGATAAAATTTGTCACGAGTGGCAAATTATCAAACAAATTAAATTGAGAATCAGGTCCTAAGCAAATACTTAATTAGTTGTCTATTATTTGCACGGTGGAGGAAGCAAAGATAGGAAGAAGATAGCAGGCTGGTAAGTGTCTACCGAGAATCACTGCTACCATAAGACCGTAACTATAAGCCCTATGGGATCTATTATAGGTTAATGTAGAGTCAGTTTGCTCTTGTATATCAAGTAGGTTACAACCAGTTACTCCTTCAACATAATATCATACTTACTATATACATATATTAATAAAAGAAAATCGATTATTCTAAAGTCTACAGGTGAAAAGATGAAAGAGTATCGATTATAATGATTTTATTATATCCGATTAACAAGTGACTATAGTTTAATAACGATGTACTCTTCACAATAACCTAGATGTTAATCAATTTTACCAAGAAACAGGATCAAATGACTTGATTTTTATTTATTTTTTCTCTTCTCGAACAATCCCATCGATCAATGTTGATGTTCACCCTGTTTATTTTCTCTTGTTCACGAACTACGAAGCTCTCAGGTTTGAGGACGAGATAGCGGAAATGGAGGATAATGTGAAGCAAGATGATGGGATCAACGGAGAGGAAATGTAACATTGGCACATAGACAAGAGACGGCATTACTATCCAAGCGTGAAGATGGTATAGGCTAAAAGTGACTTTTGGATCATATATAGACATGCTACTCGTCATTGTTGAATTCCCTGTACGCTGTTCTAGTTCGTATAATCATTTTCAAACCGATTTTCGTTCAGAGCGTGACGCCAGATGTCACAAGACCACACACTACTCGTGAATTAACGTAACTATGTGTGCACTCTCCTGGGACAGGTGACAAATAATATACCAGTGAGAAACGATCTGATGAATTCTAGGCTGGGCGGTATGTAGTAGATTTTTC